CATGGAAAAGTAAGAAACAATTCATAGTAGCAAAATCCAGTGCCGAGGCTGAGTATAGAGCAATGGCACATAGGACGAGTGAGTTGACTTGGCTACTACACTTCCTCCAGGAAATTGGATTTTCAGTTCAACTTCCTTTACATGTGTTCTGTGATAACTAGGCACCTATCCATATCGCTGTTAATCCTGTGTTTCACGAGAGAATCAAGTATATTGAGGTTGATTGTCACTTTTTTCAAGACAAAATAGTAGCCGGGGAGATTACAACTCCATTTGTGAAATCTGAAGATCAGCTTGCAGATATGTTTACCAAAGCATTGAGTCGTATACGTCTTATAGCTATTTGTTCCAAGCTTGGATTATATGATATATATAGTCCAGCTTGAGGGGGAGTGTTAAGAATAGTAGGGTAGTATGTGTAAATTGTTAATAGTAAGAAGGTGTGTGTGTGTGTAATTCTTATTATTGTAAGTTAACTATAAATACAAATGATGTATGAGAGATAGGTTACGTTTTTTACCACTCTCTGTTTCTCTCTAATATTGTGTTAATTCTCCAAACTTAACAAAAGCTAATATTAGTTGCACTTTACTTTATCTAGACACGACTAAAGAAATTTGGGACAACTTGACCATTATGTATTCGGGCACAGGCAATTTTAATCGTGCCTATAAGATTTGTCAGCAATACTTTCGTCTAGAACAAGACAATCTGAGTCTTGCAGATTATTATTCCTATGTCACGGGGTTTGTGAGGAACTGAAACTTTACCATCCGTTTATCACTGATACTGCAGTGTGGCAGAAGTAGCATGAAGATATGAATGTTGTTCTTTTTTTGATGGGTTTGAAACCTGAGTATGAAGCTGTTCATTCTCAGATTTTGGGCAGTTCTAGGCTCCCATCCTTGCTTGAGGCTTTCTCTCGATTACAACGTGTTACATTGTCTACCCGGACTTCTGGTGTTAACTGTAGTTTATCTCTTGACCGCTCGACACTTGTTGTTCCTACTAGCCACAATGATAGTTCTCGAGGCGGTCGTGGCAACCGTGGTGGTCGTGGAGGTCGTACTGGAGGTCGTGGTGGTCAATCTAGTCCTCGCTTGTGTACTAATTGTGGTCGTGGAGGACACACCGTTGACTACTGTTGGGATTTACATGGCAAGCCTTCAGGTGTTGCTAATCAGGCCTCTTATCAAGATGATATTTCTCGTCCAACTCCACCTGACTCTGGGTCGATTACACTTACACGCAAGGAGTATGCTCAATTTATGTCCCAACAGTAGGTTGTTCCATCCTCTTCTATTGCCACATTTGCCCAGTCAGGTACCGCTCCCACTTGTTTATTGTCCTCTACTCGCAGTCCCTGGATCATAGACTCTAGCGCCTCTGACGATATGACTGGTTCGTCTTGTGTCTTTTCTACTTATCAATCTGTCAATTCTCAACATAGTGTTACTCTTGCTAATGACACTTCCTCTAAAGTTTCAGGTGTAAGAACTACTCAATTGAGTACTGATATGTCATTGTCATTAATATTATTTGTTCCCCAGTTTTCCTTTAGCTTATTTTTCATTAGCAAGATTACTCGTTCTCTTAATTGTTCGGTGTTGGAGATATAACAGCAGCCTAATTTATTAGGGTTTTATTAGGTTTTCTTTTTTACCTTTTTGTCCTTATTGTAATTCTCATTGACTATATATACAGGGACTCTACACTTAATTTGTATCCTTTTTTTTCCACTCAACTATTCCAAGTTGGTATCAGAGCCACGCCCTAACCCTAACCCTAATCACCAATCACCAATCACCACCAAAATCAACATCATCCACTGCAGCAGCGAACTAGCACCCACTGTCCAGCATACCAGACAGAGCAAACCAGACACCAACCATACAGAATACTCACCAACTGCCTGTCTACACCGACTGACACTGTAACCCACTACAAGCACCGACTGCCTCCATCAAACCACCACTGCTCTAGCAACTTCACCGACAAACTGCCAACACTGAAACAGCACAGCCATAGTCCAGCAAACAGCCACAGTCCACCGATTGAAATAATACCACCCAACATATACCAAACTGACCAGCCCACCTTCCCAGCAAACCCACTGACTTCACCAAACCTAGCCAGCGAATCAACAAACCAGATCAGCCCAGACCATACCGACTGCCCTCACCGATCAAACATTAGGCCCCAACTTCAACTGACAACTACATCCGAAGGTACCCAAAGCCGACTGCCCATACACCAACATCAACGCCCTTGCCCAAATAAAAAAAACACAAACCAGCCCAGACTCAAACCCAATAAACCCAGACCAACCCATTACTGTCCAGCCTAATTCTGTTCAGCCCACTGTTGGTCACAGTGTTGTCAAGTTACAGGATCGTAGGACTTTTTAAGAGGGGTTGAATCCTGTTCTCCGTTGATTTGTTCTTGATGCAGTAGATTATTTATATTTACTGAATTTTTGAGCACCATGACCTGATTATTTTGGAGCTTTTTGGACCTTTTTTATCTGTCGCTACTGTTCGACTAGAGGTATATTGTTCTCCCCTATTTTATCCCTCTATTTATCTTAGAGTTATTTTTTTCTGTCACAGGTGCTCCAGTATTATTGTTGATATGACTACTACTGAGGGACTTGAGACTCTTACTGTTGACACCTCTACCGTTGAGACATCTATGGGTACTTCCACTTTTATGTTTGACCAGTATAGAGTACCTACTAGCACAGTTGTATTACCAGCACTATCGGGTATGAAGGAAAGATCCAACAAGTATATCTTTTTTAATCACAAAGTAACAAAGATAACATGATTTCGACAACCGAATTTGAAGTAGAATTGCCAAAATAAAAAAGATAAACGACCAACTATTTAAATTCAAAAAGTTCGATATACAATGAAGAAAAGGCAGTGAAGGCTGGAAAGTACACATAACATAAGGAAACTGCTACAGAAACCATATGACATTCTTACAAGTTGGAGAACTATAAGTCTATAAATGATGATACATGTAGAAGGTCAAAGCAAGCATGACAATACAAACTTTTCGTCCATCCCATGCTCTAGATTTTACCTCTTTCTCAATTTGGGAAAGGGAGAGGGGGTAGTAGGAGGAAAGGGAGAACTCTCTCAATGAGAGCAGTGATCAGAGCCATGAAATGGCCTAGAGGGGCAAGTTTTCAAAATTATGCTTTAATACCTCAAAAATTATGTTTTTTGATCTCTCTCTACATGGCACTCTCACGTTCTTGAAATTATATCTTATACCTTCAATATGTTCTTGATTTTCTTTTATCCCTTGACTATTGATTTGGACACAGTGCACAATCAACCAAGGATCAAAAATTTTTTATTCTTTTCACTGAAACGTTTTTGTTTTCATGTACACCAAAACAAATCAAATATTGTATATCGAAATCAAAACGACCAATGTTTCAAAATAAATTTACATATTTTTTCTCTTTCTATTTTTTTTCCGACATATTTTCAAATCATTTGTGAAACATTACCATTTCTAAGTTGACCAAAATTATGCCCAATGATGAAACTTTGATCCTTGCAATCAACCATTCAAAACAGTCTCATTGGGTATTTTTAAATTATATGTGCAAAACAAAATTTAATGACATGTACAAAATTTCAATGATCAATGTGCAGTATGCTCAAATCGATGACAAAAATGAAAGCATTATCATAGTTAAAGCGTATAGAGTTTAATTAACCCAAATCCTTCATATTACGTACATAGGGTCCAAAATTGTATATAATAGGTTTTTGAGAAATTTGCACTCTTTACCTCATTGTGTTCGGCTTTTTGTACTTTGCTACATGATGACACTTAGTTAGACTCAAACTATTACGTGGTAAAATTGAACTTGAATTGGTGACAATTTGATGAATTGATTTGAAATTCATTTAAATCCTTATTTCTTTGACAAGTTTGAATTAATTTTTTTGATATTATGGAAATAAATACAATTAGAAATTTTAACATTAACTACAACCTAAAAAGCACGGACAAGAACATGGACACGGGACACAGTTACGGACACGATATTTTTCAAAAAAAGTAGGGCATCACACGTTGGGAATACGTTACAAAAAATTATATTTTACACACAACATTATATAATTTATTGCAAATATAGTGATAATGGTATGCAATTCATAAAAGATTCAATATTTTATGATAAGAAAATCTTATGTATAGTCATTTGTGTGAATTTTTAGACTAAAGCATCGACATACTAGTCAATAATCATCAATTTTTTTTTGTAGACAATGTGTACCTAATATATAATTTAAATAATTACTTTTATTTTCTCAATTCCTCTTTTTTTAACTTTTTATACATATTTTGTTTTTATTATTATATTTGGAGTATAACTTTAACATGTCTATTAATAGTAATTATATGTTCTAAAAATTTTAAACTTTATTAATCACATTTCCACACATGTTTATTATTTAATAGTAGACACATTCTAAAGAATTGTCAGACACGCCAACAAAGAAGTGTCGGACACATATCCAAAATTAAAATTTTTTCATTTAATTAAGGATACAGTTAAAAAAGGGTATCGGACACGTATCCAAGAGTGACGGTGTCCGACACGGATACGTCACATTCTCAAGAGTGTCCGTCCTTCATAGACTACAACTCATCTAATTATCCTCCATTGTATTAAAATTCCCACTAATAGGCCCTCCTCCTTGGGAAAAAAATCTTGCCCCTGTCCCGGCACGAGAGTGAAGCTTTTTACAATGTAGAGAACTTTAGGTGGTTTGCATAGTATAACCAGAGTATTTTACAAAATCCAAATTAATGTTCATATAGATAAATGAACAAACACTGGCGTTCCTAGCACCATGTCCATGTGCTACTTGCTGAATATGATAAAACACACATGTATTGGTATACTGTTGAAACACAAGATACCACGCCCTACCATGTACAAGGACAAATACTAAGAGATAAAGATGCACCTGAAGTGAACATTGTCAAATTGAATGCTGCCCCCATCCAATTTCAAAGGTTTCACATCATCATCATCATCTCTAATTTCAGCCCTCTCCTGCAGAACAATTGGAAGTCAACAATTATAACGCCATGATAACAAAACAATTACAAGGTGGAAATTCTAGAGTGCTACAAATTTTATAACGTGCGACACTAATAAGAGAAACTAGACACACACTTGCACTTACTATTTCTCTATCTAAAAACAAGACTGTCCCCACATCCATCTCATTTCTGCTCCATGACTTATGAAATTCAAGCTGAAGCCTCTCTTCTCATACGAGAAACTCCATAACTTAGTGATTGCAGTACAAAAATAATCCTTTCTAGGGTTATGGGCAACTCAACCACCAAACACTTTTGACAGATGACATACAAGCCTAGCACAATGAAAGCCATAATGCTATCACAATGGATGAGAAACCACACAAAATTAAACAAGAATGGAAAAAAAAAGTTGCTCACAAGGATCACTGATTTGGTTCTAGAGTATTAGTCCCTCCACTTCCGATGATTGATATATAGTCCCTCCACTTCCGATGGTTGATGTATGACTAGTATAGCATAGCTGCCATTGAATTTGATGTGCATGATAACCATTATATATTTAAAGGATAAAGCATTGGCGTCTGCAGGACTGAGAGGTCTATTCTTTTCTCTGTCAAGTTGATTTTGCTGTCTGCAGATGCTGCAACCTACTGTTCACAGTTCCTTCCCAATTGATTATTTGCTCCAATTTTACCAGACAACTACTGCAATAGGACCATTTGATCCACCATGGGCTTAATTATTGTTAAAATGATTGCCCTAAGCTGAGAGGTACTAAAAAGGTCATCTCTTCAGTCCTGCTTTGGTAATCATCCATTCTATCCTGCTTTGGCAATCTGAGCTTGTATTCCATCGCTTGCGTGCTACTGTGCTTAACAAACTTAAGGACTTAAAAAGTCTTCAAGTTTTGACGGTAGAGCTTGAATGCAACTAAACGTGCTAGGAAATTTGGGTCAGGCTACATAAACAGACTCACATTTTTACTACAGGCTTGCTTATGTGAATTGGTTTGGACTTGACGGGTTTAGCAAGGCAAAACAAACGTCCTAGTTTTTACTCAACGTGGCTTCCAAGCCCAAACCCCCAGCAAGTATATTACCAAACAATGGATTGACTGCAAAATAATCAAACTCAAATTGGATTTATAGAATCGAAAACTGAAAGGGTTTGGCAGTTACCTCAAGTAACTGAAACATGGATTTCATGTCGATAAGACTTTGTACAGTCTCCCGATATACACTGCCAAGGAAGTTGAGAGGAAGAGACAGCTGGAATAGGAGCCCATTTACCATCACCTGTGTCAATTAATTTTAATGACCAATTCTCAATCTTTCTGAATGCAAGAAAGCTAAACAAGTGAGCTCATAACCGTTCTACCAAATCACCAACTGTCATCTTGCCATCCATAATCCCAAGTGAGCACAGCACCATAGCTGCTGACAGAGCCATGCTAAATATTAAATTTTGCCCAAAGTTCAAAAATGCAAGACTTTGTTGTGTTTTCAAGGCAGCATCTTCATATCCTGAAAGATAACATCGTCATCATGAATCTATTGGACTTACTTATTCAAATACAAAGGAAAAAAGTCAATGAAATAACACAGTTTCTAAACTCCTAGGACGACAGAAAATAAATGCAGATACACCATCCATCGAAAATCATTATTGCATTGGTCATATCCAATTGTTTAGAAGATAGGACCCACTCAAGTTGCGGACATCTGAAAGTGTCAAGAGTCAACGCATGGGTCTGTGTCTATACATTAGCAATAACGTCCCTAACCACTAGCAAATATCAATTGAATCTATGTTTTTCAACCGACAACAATGGCAAATTAAATCCCAACACCCAACGACATCAGCTTGAATATGAGATTCCCATTTTCCCTTCACCTTTAGAATCAGTCACATTCCACTGAACTACACTACATCATAACAGAAGGGCTTCTGTGAAGTACAAGCAACTTACTCTTCAAAAATTCATCGTATTTCGCAACTTCAAATGCCTCGTTGTTGAAATACTTTACGGTTTGACAATATAACACCAAATGTGAAACATTACCAACTTATACAGAGCATGACGATGAAATATAGGACAGTACTATAACATCAAAAGAAAGACACTCTTATATATATATTTTTTTCTTTTGATTAGCTACATCAAAAGAAAGATATTCAAGAATGTCACATCACAAACTTGTTACTCACCTCATAATTAATAAGTGAATCAATTGCCCTTGTACTTGCATCGTTATCAGCTTTGTTCATTGCCTTCCTAAACTTAGTCCTCCACTAAGAATAGATAAAATGGAAGGGAAACCTTAAGAAGAAAGGTAATCACCATTGAGAAAGGGAAATAGAAAACATACAACATCCCCCAGCCCGTGCATTCTGATATGCGTTCTTGCACGAAGCACACAGGCCAGATGGGAGAAAGGGCGAGATATGACGAGAAAAGGTAAAAGTAGAAATCTGGACAGCAGAAACAACAAATATTTAGGAGAAAGAGTAATTTCAAAACAAACAAGGAAGAAAATGGACGGGAGAAAAGACGACGTAAGAGATGCAAAGTAGAGACTACATAATGTTACAAAAACAAATCTAACTGATTTGCTCTGTCTGCCAACTTTTTCTCTCTATGATATTATTCGAGTTGCCAAAAATGGCGAGCCAAGTTGGGAAAGAAGCATAATACAACTACACTTAAAAAGAATATGTACCTGTGTCACAAACAACGTGAATGCCACATAAGCAACAACTGACGAGGAAGTGATCCATGCAAAAGGGGCTCCATAACTGTATGCTAGAATACCTGATACCATGGAGATCTGAAATGATACGTGTTAAATCTGCCAAAGTTGCATTTGGAGTTGGAGAAATGAAAGCAAGGGAATGACGACAAAATTGAAACCACTCTGCTCTCTAATATAACAGAGTACCTCGAAGATTGTTGGTACAACATTGAACACCATAGATGAAAGAATAAAATTAATACCACAGCTACCACGATCAATGATCCGACTCAATGCACCTGTTTCTCGACTGTAAAAAAGAAAAAAAAATTATAGCAAACAATTAATACGAGAACAAATATTTATCATCATTTGGAACATAACAAGTGTGCTACACAGTATTAGCCCAACAAAATGAGCAAGAATTACTGTAATTCTTGCTCAGGCAGCAAGGCAGGCCAACATTGACAGTAATGTCGAAGTGAAGACCTGATGTTATTTTGCTGAGAAGTGTCAGATTGTATTTTCATAAAAGATGTGCAATCTAACCAAATGATATGTTGAAATAAAATTGCCCCATATGAGGTGGTAAGTGCATCAACCGTAATGACAAACATACTACGGAAAAGGATCTCAATTAATACCAACTGTCTCTATCTTGTTCTAATATGTAAAACTATTGCAATAATCACACATATAACTGCTATAGACTTATCTTTATCTTTTGCACTGCTACTTCAACAATATCAGCTTAGCAAATCTTTTCTACCCTTCTGAACTGTATTTGAAGTCGGAGAGTAATCATTCCATAGTATAGTGTATGAAAATGAGTACATAACGGAAGTGACCAGTTAGCTAATCTGAAAGGGAAAAGAAAAACCAAAAAGTTCCTAAAGAGTACAGCCCGTGGCCACTCCATACCACAAGCACAATAAGCACAGGGGTCCTAGCTGTGGTCAGTATTAATAATAACAATTAGAGCAACAAAATTTGAATTCAGCTGAACAGAAAGTTCTCCGGGCAGTACCTAAGATGATACTGTAAGTCGAGCTCAAGCAAATGTGAAAATACCTGCAAACAGAGGTCTCAGTAAATTGATGGGTCCAATACAGATTGTGAAGCCTACCGACATATCCCCCACAAACGCAGAGCATTAACAAAATTAATTAAAGGAGGGGAGAGCAGGGGAAGAAAACATGAAATCTGTTAAAAAAAAGTGCTCTGATTGGTCCTCACTCCTCAATCAGTGCAGACATATAAAGTGAAAAAACGTGTCTCATATACCTTCCTCGAAACTGATCGAATTGTTCGCAATGCAACCTTAGAAAACACTGCAGTTCGCAACTCTGAAACAAAAGATCCGCAACTATAAGAATTATAATGGAGATTTTAACATCCCACATCTCAAAGTCTCATCATTTATACTACTAATAAAAGTACTTTACATGAAAAAATTTTGATTCACTATTTTGACCTTATAAAAAATTATGAAGACTAATATGTCATTTTATATTTAAATATGCAGATTACCATTATATCTTTCTATACTTAAATAACAAACTAACCTCTAACATATTATGTAAACCTCTATCTTCGCAAAATTTTTAAATGCTCATGATACTGTAAAAATATTGTTCTTTTTTTTTCAAAACTCCAATATTTATACACATCGACAACTTTATATATATATATATATATATATATATATATATATATATATATATATATATATATATATATATATTTCCATTCATCCACAATACAAGCAATTTAAATATGATAAATATGAGACAATATATAATTTAACTATATAATTAAATTTGTATATATTTAATCAAATATTTTAACAAAAACTTTCCCATGCAAGTTGCAACGCACGTGTTGCATTGTTAGTAGATATGAAAAGTACATTAATAAAGACCCAAGTACAAGAACATGACAAAGATCTCCAACTTTTGAAAAAGAAGAAAGAAAAAAGAATATGGATACATATTTATGGAATCAGGACAGCATTAGAAATTACGTCATAGTGACATACCATTGAAAGCAGAAGCCCCTGACCGCGCTATACCATATCCAATCAAAACGGCTCCTGGGCTCACAAACAGAGCTAAAACAGTTGAATTAGCAGAAGTGAAGTCAGCAAGAGCACTGGCGTTTCTTGTTACCGTGTTTAGCCAATCAACAGCAAGCTTAAATAAGAAAGGCACCTGAACATTCAGTACCTAAACAACAACAGCACAACCACTTATTCCGTAATCAACAATGAATACCATTTATTCACTGCCTTTGCATACACATATGAACAATATTATAGATCAGCTCACCTTGGCAGCAACCAAGAAACCCAAAGCAGCGACCACCCGCAAACGGAATTCAAGATTATCTTTCATCCATAAGTATTTTGCAAGAGTACAAAGAATTTTGGTGCTTGGAATTCCCTCTTCTGAAACGACCCCTTTCACGACCGTCGTAGACTTCACTTGTTTCGCATCCTGTTTTGCACCCATTACATCTCCCCCAGTTGATGTCGAAAACATTGCAAGCCCCTTTGGTATCGGACCCTGTTCACCAAATCTTTCAAAGAAATTCACAAAAACATAATGTACTCCCATACTTGTACAAATATCGCCAGACATAAAAAACACAAACAAATGGCATGCATTCAAAGCAAAGAATCCTTGACTTACAAGATGTTGGGGAGGCCTAGTGGGGGAATCTGAGAGGAAGGCGTTGATGTGTTTATAAAGATATGAGACGGTTCTTGAAGATTCCCATGGTTTATGCTTGGTGGAGAGTTGCCTAGTGAATATACGACGAGATTGGCATGACATGAATGTTTGAGAACGAAAAGGGCGAGAGGGAATAATGATGGGATCGTGACGAAACGACATGCGACAGGAATTCACAATCATCGTCTCTGCTCTGTCGAAGAAGAGCCCGCGAGCCCTAAAGCAACTTGAAGCAATTCGCGCTTGCATTAGTTTCTTTTCTTTTCTTTTTGTAAGCGACTGGACCGACTTACTGTTCAACACATTAAACTTGATATGAGAGAGGAGAGAAACAGAAAAAAAGAAAGAAAGAAAGCCTAGGTTTGAATGTAAAGCCCAAGGTTATCAAGCTTTTTCAATACATTGAAGGTTGATATGAGAAGGAAGACAAGAACAAACCCTAGGTGGAAAGGTAAAGCCCAAGACTATCTAGCTTTTACTCCGACAACTGTTCGTGGCATAGCTCCAGCCTCCGTTGGAATTCGTGGCGTCGCTGTTCGGAGATGGAGATGGAGAAGTAGAGCGGAGGAGCTACGGAGGCTTGGGTGTCCTTGATTTCTGATGCGTTCATGTAGACTCTGCCGCGGGAGAAATTATACTGGCGGACACCGACTCTTTTGCGAAGTCCGAAGTACCGATTAGGAAATAATCTTTCTTGTCTTATATTGAACATTATTAATTTAGTGACCGTTGGAGTCGGTTTGGATATTGAAAGGGTGGATTAAGTTAGTCTTATATGCTCCTTGTTTCCAAAAGAAAATCAATCTAATTCATTATTATTTTTATCAACAAAAAAAAATAATTGTAGTACATTTTTATACATAAAATAATAAAATTTTACGCTCTTATTTTATCTGAATTTATAATAATTCTCATCTATTTATTCAGTTTTATTTTTTAAATCTATAATTTTTTACTTAAATTTTATATAATCAGGTATATAATACATTTATTTTGTAAGTTATTTTTACTTTAAATACACCTCTAAAAGATATAAATTTTATATATTTAAAATTTAAAAATAAAAATAAATAAATTGTTCATCTAAAAATAATTTAAGGCCTGATCTAAAATTTTTATCTCGGGCCTCAAATATTTTTGGGCTAACCCTGGCACTATGGTAAATGAGATTTGTTTGCTTTTGATCCTTGAGCTTTTAATGAGCCCATCTACGAGCCTATCACTCGCGATGGGCCTCTTTGTTATGTCTCAGTAAACTCACTCGAGATGGGCCAGGCCTATCTTCTCATTTGGACAGAGACATATGCACCATCAGTTTTGCAGATAACTAGGAAAGAACTTCCGTACTAGAACTTATTCCTAAAATCGACTTAGTATTGGGTTCCCAAGCTCTTCAAGTGGGGTCACTATTGCCAATGGAGGAACAAGAAATACAACTAATACACCATACTAGAGTGAGTGAAATTGTTGCTGAAATGAACAAAAATGGGGTGAGTGTAGTATCTGCATTATGAGTAAATATTGGGTGAAATAGTTACACCATATCAGTAATGTTGATATGATGTAGCCATCTATGTAATATCCAAGGTAAAAAAAATAAAAATAATAATAATAATAATAATAAAAGTAAATAAGTTGGATTTGAGAAGTTTTAAACTTTTATTTGATTTGGGGTTTGTCTTATGGGTTTGTGGATAAGCTTTGAAAATCAATGGAGATAATTTAGTTTTTTGGTGTAGAGAGAAAATCATATAATTATAGAGACTAATTATGATTATTATACATGTGGTTTAAATATGATAGTATTGTTGGATAGGTCAAATCTTTCGTATGTATATAAATATATTTAGGTTTATAGGGTTTTTTTTTATTGGTGAGAAGGCTTGTGGAGGGACTGTCCCATGAACAAAGAAGAAGAGAGAGAGAGAGAGAGAAAGAAGAAGAAGGAGGAAATAAAGAAAGGACTCGAATCCATTAAAGGTATGAATTTATTCCTTAATTTATGAGTTTTGTATTTTATTCAATCATATAGGTTCATATATATATATATATATATATATATTTATTTATGAATGTTGATAAATATATATCATAAAGAAATATCATTATTATGCATTTTGTATCGTTTATATTGATAATATACTAATCTTTTCTGATTTTATTGATCATCATTTTAAACATCTGAATAAATTCATTCAAATTGTTAAAAATAATGGTCTTGTTCTCTATGCTATTAAAATGAAACTATTTCAATTAAAAGTAAGATTTTAAGGTCATTATATTGAACAAGGAAATATAGTCCAAATTGAAAGGAGTATTGAATTTGCATCCAAATTTTCGAATGAAATTAAAGATAAAAGGCAATTACAAAGATTTTTGAGAAGTTTAAATTATTTAACTAACTTTTATCAAAATCTTGCTAAGGACACTACTATTTTATATTCTAGACTTAAGAAAAATCTGTCTCCTTGGACAAATGATCATACAAAAGCAGTAAAAAAAATAAACTTAAAGCTAAATATTTACCATGTCTTTCTTTGATAAATCCAACATGGGTTAAAATTGTTAAAACTAATGCCTCAGATAAAGGATATGAAGATATTCTTAAACAAAGAGATCCTACTTCTACTAAAGAATTACTTGTTTGATTTACTTCAGAAAAATGGGGATCTACCAAATTTAATTATCCTACTATTAAAAGGAAATTTTATCTATTGTTAAATGTGTTAGTAAATTTCAAGATAATTTATTAAATCAAGCATTTCTACTAAAATTTGATTGTAACTCTGCTAAAAATGTTATTGAACAAGATGTAAAAAATATTGCATCTAAACAAATCTTTACACGATGACAGGCTATCTTATCTGTTTTTTATTTTAAAATTGAATATGTTAAAGGAGAATTAAATTCTCTTTTCGATTTTTTAACTCGGGAAATTTTTGCAGGGTTCTCATGAATCGAGGCCAGAGTAGTATCCGTGGGTCGAGGCCGTTGCAGAGGTCGGCCTGGTGGAAGAGCCCAAGTCAATGTTTATTATCTCCCTTTAACTGAATCTCAAAAACTTAAAAGCTGTTAATAATCAACTTCTTAAAGAAAGTTTTTCATCTTCACATAAAAGTGATGATAAAGATAATGACAGTTATATTGTCGTCCGATCTAAAAAATCTATTAAAGAGGCTCTTATAGCTAAGCTCAAACTAAATTATACAGAGTTATACACTCTGTCTGCTTATAGCAGCATAATGACTCTTGACTATGAATATGAAAATAGGTTTTAGTGAAAGATGCTAATTTATGTGTTTATAGATCTAATTTAGATTTGTTAGTTTTGAAGTTTTAAGAAATTTAATCAATGTGTAAAAAGGGAAAAAAAGGGGGGGGGGGGGAAAGGAAGTTACTGGTTGCAGGTTCTACCGTAGGAAGAAGACCAAATTCGAAAATTACAGAAAGCTCATCTTTAGTTTCAAATAGCTTTACTTTGACCCCTATATTCTTCTAAATTTAATTTTAACCATTGTTTTACTTTGTAGGTTAGAAGAATAGAATTTTAGAAATTTTATAGCAGCCCCAAAAACAAAAAATTCGTTTTTCAAGAAAATTATACTTTGACTCCAAAAGTTTTAAAAATTATGATTTGACTCCAAAATTTTAGAAACTTTTTCTAAATAGCCCAGAATACTTCTATACCCTATTATCTCATATTAGAAAAGATATTTATATGTAAAGGATATATAAAGTATATATATCAATGAATGGAAAGTATAAAAATTAAATATAGAATCGCAAAACGACAAAATTAGGAATAAGAATTGATCGTTATATGTTATTATTGGATTAGGTGGTGATTTCATTGAGGTTGGGAAAGAGAGCTTTGAATTGGATTTTGAAAATCAAAGTGAGTAGTTACTATCTCTTTTGGAAGGGTTTTCTATATTAAATGTGTGGGTGCGTGCGTGTGAATTTTTCATATATATGATATATGTGCTGATGTTTGTGGTTGTAATTAAATATTTTGAAATTGTAAACTGTTATACATGTGAATTTTGAAAAACTTGTGGGATGATTTCATATCATTACTTTGGTGATGAAAGGAAAATTTTGTGTGCGTTGGGATTAAAACTACAGTTTTAATATGTGTGAAAATCATGTTTATGAGACGGTGACTGGGGTTACCAAGTCTAAGTGATAACAAGCGATTAGGTAAGTCATCAGGCTAGTGATGACAAGAGATTGAGTCAGTTACCAAGCTGGTGGTAACAAGAAACGGGGTCAGTCATCAGACTAGTGATGTTAAAAGACTGGACCAGATATCAGGCTAGTAGTAACAAGAGACTAAGTCAGTTATCAGGCTAGTGGTAACATACATGATTTGACAAATGTATTTAGAACTGAATGTGTGTGAGTATTTTAAGTTATAAATGTCTTTTCATTTATAAAATTATTTGTGAAAATGAGTGGTGTTTTAAGTTATAAATATTTTTTCATTTATAAAGTTATTTGTGATGTGAGAGGGGTTGTGATACAATTTGCTGTACTTATATATGTATCAAGTTTATTTTTGTATATAAACTATAGATTTATTTTCACACTTCATTAGAGGTAATTGCTATTCACGGGCTATTGTGATCATCCAAACATTTAACGTTTTTCAGGTGAGGATCAGAGTGAGAAGTAAGTCTACAGATATATAAGGGATTAGAGAACTTGAAGATTTATTATACTGTAGGTCTTCAGGAATAAATGTCTTTTATAGTTTTGAAACAAGTATTTAATTGTTTTGGGAACAATGTTGCTTATGTTTGAAGTAGTGAACCTTACAGTTTGACTATCATTTTACATGGATTTAGTAATGATGTTGATGATGTTTAGTTTATTCTTCTAGTATTCATTAAGTCAGTGGAATGAAACACTTTATTATTTGTCTTCTGCTGCATTTTACATTTATTATGCACAGGGTTAGTTGGTTAAGGCCTTGGTGGCCGGTCCGCTGCCCATCTTATGTGATCCGGGGTGAAAATATGACAAGTTTGGTATCAGAGCATAAGTTTATGAATTAGTAAAGGATTAGGCTGGATCTGAATTGTTGTGTAGATTTTAATCAGTTTTAGTTCGAGGGATGTAGAATGATGTTAATAGTTAATAGAATGATTTGTGTAGTGACTAAGACTAGTTAATTTGCTTGGTATTTTGTACAAATAAGAGATAGTTGCAAAATTGGATGGTAAGTGTGTTGTAAGAAATGTAACTGACACTAATGGAATTTTAGGGCCTATATATTCTTCTGTGTCTCCTAGAGTAGTAGTGCGATTTGGTGTGAAACCCAAAAACACTTGAGTTTGATTTGATCGTGGTAACTCCTATGGGTGATTTTTGTGTTTAGAGATGTTGTGTAATCAAGGTGCAAGGTCAACATTGGGAAACATCAGTAACTAGTTGATTGAGTTTTTTAGACCTTAGGGGTTTTAATGTGATATTAAATATGAGTTGGTTAGTCACACAATATATGAAAGTTGGTTAAAAAGAGAGTCAGCAGATTTAGTTTTGAGGGAACATGATTTATTTAATCTCTAGTATTAACTCTATGAGTGCAAGCT